TTATTTCGAAAGTAAATACCTATGAATAAACTATAGATTTAATAAACTACAAAAACATTGTTGGTCGACAAACATCGGAGCATGTCATTTTTTTAATTATTTTAATTTATTTATTTATTGAATCTTTGTCACTGAATATGTCATATTTTTTCCCTTGTTTTCTTAACATTCTAACATCTCGAAGTTACCTCATGTTGTTTAATTACTATTAAATCAACAATAAAAACACATCTAACACAGACACATAACACACAAACTTTTTCATCGTTCTCACCTCTTCCGGAAATACTGCTAGCGACAGAAGGCTGAAATCGGGGACAGGGGGTCAGGAAACACAAGAAATGCCTCTGTGTTGAGCCAGCAGATCTCCAAGTTAAAAAAAATTGTAATACAAATATCTCTGGAATAAGTTTAAAACACACTCGTACCTACTAGGATCATTTATTGTTTTTATTATCAAACGGCTTTATTATTAAAGTCGGAGGAATTGTGGAGCATATTCCACGAATTTCATCAGCAAACTAGTTTTTCATACTTTTAGCCGTATGCATTGATAAAACACGACTTCATCAACAGGTCTACCAAATTTTCTCTTGCTGTCTAGCCAATGTTGGGTTGAAAAAGTTGAAGTAATCTTGGGACGTAAATTACCCTTGAATTATCCAATGCTTTTTTTTTTAGCAATGTACGCTTTCATGCAATTTCACAACTGATGATTATGTATCGAAGGCCTTAGCAAATAAAACTTTTGTGTATCTCACATTTCTTGTTATATATTCATAACATATTTAAAGAGAAACATTGTTTAAAAACTATTATTTTTAATGATTTTATTTGCCCTTTTTTCTCGTAAATTAACTTGCGTGATTTATATACACTCTTCTGATCGAAAATATTCACCCAGTAAAAGAAGACACAAGAAGAGTTTTATATTTTACAAAACATATGTTTTTATAAACACTGGGAAGTATAAAATAAAAAGTTTTGTTTTTTTTTAAACTGAACATAAATGTTTGAATAAAATAATTTTTAAACAATGTTTTTAATAACAGGTTTTTTGATCCAATGTCGGTGGGAACAAAAATAATACAACTTAAACTTAACAAAACATACTTCATAATACAATTAATTAACGTTTTTAGTTGAGTTAAAAAAGTCAGTGGCATGAGCGGGATTCGAACCCACGATCTTGGGCTAGATACGCCGCTGCCCTACCACTTGAGCTATCATGACCTCGATCCACTCGGAAACCAACTTCCCATCTCAACCCCACCTTTTGAATTTTTCCTCCTTTTTGCCACCACGAAATTAGTGAATTTAATACTTCATAATCTTTCATATATATTTGTTCATTTTAAAATAATTAATTTTAACGTTTAGTTAATTTGAAGTAATGCGATAATCAAAACGATAAAAATACTTCATAAATATTTTTTTTATATACTTTTGTTATCTTTATAAAACATAATTTTTCTTGTCCATTGTTCTTACTTTTTCTTAAAATATTTTTCTTGTTTTGATTTCTTTTTACACATTTTGTCGTTTTCCGATATGATTAAAATAATTATAGCTTGCCAATATTAGCCATTGAAGTAGTATGAAGTAAGATGCATAAATCTATTATCGTCGTTACTTTTATGGGATTATACAATGATACACACACAATTGAACGAAGGTATTTGGAAGCAATGTACCGAGAAATTAGAGTCATTAGTTTATTTTCAAATCGATGCTTCGACGAGTTTTGTCATAAAATTGCCTGAAGGAGTAACAATGCATATAATTCAGTGACATTTTTTTCTAAGTTGATTAAACAAACTAAAAACTACAACTGTTATGTACAAACAAACAAAAAATAAATATAGGATAACTATTTCTTAATGAACAAAATAATAACACAATTGTTTACTTATTTTTGTAAATACATATCGTTAGAGATATGAGTTTATACAAGACAAACTTTTGTGCATTTGACCACTAAACTTATTTAAATTACTAAGCTAAGAGTGAATTGTTAAAAATAGAGAAAAATGTTTTTTAATTATGTCAAATGTATAACTACTGTAATAATTGGAGTGCAATATTTTATATTATTTTGCTTTGTATGACCATCACCATAGAAATGAATAAAAGCTTATATCAAGCAAATAAAGTAGTTACAAATTTTGTAAAACACATCAATATATTATTGAATAATTAACATTTACAGTACTAATTTTGTTGAAGTTGCGAGGAGCGGTCAGAAACAACGTATTTTGGAAAAACATGTTTTTCGTTTTTTTTGCATTCGTTTTGACCTATATTCGCGTCATCTTTAGGACCTCTGCGTATGACAAAACATACGTTGATTGGAAAAAATACAATTCAGACGTAAATATAAATGTTTAACGAAGTATTACATTCTCACATAAAGTAAGGTGCCTATTCTTGTGATGTGAATTTGTATTCTGTAATTTTTATACGAGTTACAGGGTTGGAGACTCAGTAAATCTGAGAAATTTTCTTTGATCATAGGCGATTTTATTTAACTGAAATGAAGTGAAGAGTGAGAATTTTTTTGGATTAGATTTGTGATTCGGAGTTTATTCAATAATGGAAATGTAGTTGATTATTATTAGCCTGTAATTAATGCTGATCTTGTCTCTGTTGATGTAAACTATGTAAAAATTTGTATTTGTATTTGTTTTTTCAGTGTTCAATATTTCTATTTTGTCGAAATGAAAGTTGTGCTTTTGTTACAAAATGCTGTGAGGCCAATGGGCTGGGATTAGTTTTTGATGTACAGTCAGTTGTTCTTTCCGGATTTAGATACACACAACATTAAATACAGAACAGATACATTCAAACTCAGCCGTTACTACGCCAACATCACAAAGCAAATAAGCCTAATGGCTAACTTTGTTTTTATTCCCCTTCCATTTCCTTCGTTAACGTACATAATTCTTAACTTCCTTTCCCATGTTGAATAAACCCCGAATTACAAATCCAATCTAGGGAAATCCATTTTCGACTTCCTTTGAGTTAAATAAAACCGGCTATGATAAAAAAAAATTTCCTACCAGATTTCCTTCGGCCCCAACACTGTCACAATCATATAAAAAACAGGCGAATAAAAATTCACATTTCCCAATAATTTTGCTTAAAACCATTAGAACAACAACAGCACGAAACTTTATGTAAGTATGAAATACTTGGTTCAAAATTTATATTTACATATGTATTGTATTTTTTCCAATAAACAATGTTTTGCAATTCACCAAAGACCTGAAGATGACGCAAACGAAGGTCGAAACGCTGCAAATGAGAAAATGATGTTTTTCTAAAAGGCCGCTCCTCACGACTTTTACAATTATAACAACCGGTCGCTAAAAAACACACATTCTTAGTCAATTAAATATTAAAAAGCCTAAAGTGAGCAAGCAATAAAAAATATAATCTCATCTCAATGTATGTGTATTGTAGTCCCAGTTAGTAAAAAATAGTGATGATTAACTAATTGTCATCCGTGAAGATGACGTGCTTAAGCTAGATGGAACGCTTTCTTGTGGCGGTATTTGCTACTTGGCGCTTTCCCTCTGTATCAGCCGGTAGATCGTGTTGAGAGCTTATAAAGCTCAATGTCTGTATTCAGCCAACACTTCTGGTGACTGTTCGTAACACCATAAAATATGAAAATGATTCTCTCAATACCTGAAATTGAGTCAATAGATGAAAAGACATAGAAAATACCTGATTCAATCAGAAGGGCTTAATGTAATCATACGTGTATTTTTCATTTATGTAGGAATGATAAATGATTATTAGTCAATTTTTGTATGTATGTAGATGAAGAAGACCTGGTACAGCATTGTAAAAAATATAGAAAAAGGACATATCTTTGATACGAAAAATGTAAATGTGCCAGACAATGAGTTCAATTGATTGTAGTTTTCTAATTTTTGTTTTTAATTTTATAAATCCGGTTGTAGTAGTAGAATGCAATCTCGTCATATTTTTGTTGGAGTAAATTTTAATATTGTTCTTTGAAAAAAGTTATACCGCAATAATTTATTTTTGCTTAATTCACCTATTTAATACATTATACATACATAATACAAAACTTATTTTAATAAGTACAAATACAGATAAATACATTCATACACCCAATGTCGGAAGCCCCAGTAAAAAAATAAATAAATAAAAAAATAAAAAATAAAAATTTAAAAAAAATTTTTAAAAAAATTAAAAAAAAAAGTACAAATAACAAAAAACGTATTGTTTGCTAGAATTAAACAAAAAGTAATACGTAATCCAAGAATAAATCCATTTATAAAAATAACGTATAAATTAAAATAATATGTAATTTACAAAAAAAAATAAAAATAAATAAAGTTAGTAGTTTTGTAATACATTTGTACAAATGTATGAAACACATCTGAAAATTTTTTTCATAAAATTGGACCGGCTGCCGCTTGAGGTGTTTTTAACACTTAAAAGGAATATTCTACATCTTTAGAGCTAATCTGGTATTAACAATAGTACGCCTTTATCTTTAAAATAAAGTTAATAGTGGCATTAAATTTTTTTGATGAAATCTTTTTTATTTTTTAATTGGTCCATCGATTCTCCTTTACCTTACCCGATTTTTCAAAACTGCGACTTAAATTTTTACTATCACCTCGTCGTTGATGTTACATACACTTTTAATTGCAAAATAAATTATTAGATAAATATTTAATATAATAATATTATTTGTATATAAAAATGTCATTCATTTTTCATTAACATTTATATAATATTTTAAATTTTATCAATTGTGTGATAAAAATCAAACACGGGCAGTCTAGTAAAAAAATTGCAATTTTGTGCAACATAAAAAAACAAAAAAACATATGAAATGCAATGTGCAACATGAATATACGCCGTATAGTTTATACTTATTTCAGATTTCATTCATTGACCAAATCCCTGATCTACACACATCCACATCTTAAAAAATGGAAGTCGTTTCAGAATATCTATCATAAATTTAAAATTACCATGAGAAACGTTGCTAAATCTATGTTGAACAAGTGACCTCCTTCTAGTTTGAAATGGGCTTTTGTAAAAGTTTCCATAATGACAAGAGATTTCATGATTTTTTCTCTGCATTTGTACCACTCGCTCAGGTAGAGCGTCCTGTGCAATTCGTCGCTCTACACAAATGAAGTTAGCGTTAAACAAAATTGCATTTTGTATTTTTTTTTCCCAAAATCCTTACGTGATCCGAGATTTCTTCTCCGAGCCAGCAGTACATGAAAAATTGTAAGTACGTCGCTCCGAGTATGAACATAAATTTTGGCATATCTTTGATCGGGTCATCAACCTGGGGTATAAAAACATAATTTATGAGATGACGGATTTTTTAAACTATTTTTTTTTTCTTTTACTTTAGATACGGCGAAAAATGTCATCGTAGATACCAAAGTTGACTGCATCACTTGCGCGAGAAATATGTCATCCAGTACGATATCGAATGTCCTGACAAGCCTGGTAAAAGAAATGGAATCTTAAATTATACAAAGAAATTTAAACATAAGCTAGTGACATAATAATTTTAAAAAATTCATAATCGTTAATTATGTCTTTTAAACAAACATTTTATTCAATTTAATTCAATAGTTCAACTATTTAACGATAGTGATACATTGATACATTTCAGACAAAAAGAAACAAAAAAAACGGTGTAATACTTTTAAATGTAAAAATTAACTTGTATGTTGTATTGATGTAAATTATGAAAATTATGAATCATCTTCGTACTCCTACTATTGCTGGTAATGTTTTCCGACGTGTTTTAGAATTTTACTCTCTTTCATACCTGGTCTGTTTGTTATTTTATGAAGAGTTTAATAAATGTGAATGCAATTATTTTGTGTTTATGAAAATACCACTATAAAAACTTAAAAATTGAATACTGAATGAAATGTTTTGAATATTGAATCGCATAAATGTTGGAAATATTCTTTAGTAAAATTTAACATATTTTTATATATTTTTAAAATTGTATTTACCTTATAATATCTACGTGTTCTCTTATTACTTCTTTCAATAAAGTTTCGTCTCTGCTAAGAGCAGCCATTCTTAAAATGCTAAGCCCCATGAAATCCTCCATTGCTTTGGGCCTTTTCCAGCCTCTTTTTCTAAGAGGCTCCTCCGTTCCAATTGAAAGGAGAGCTACCCTGATTGCACCAAGCCTCCTACATATTTGACCAGCAATGAGCAAAAGCAATGTGTCTACGGCGTCCTGGGTGTAGCAAATGATGAAGAACACAAAGCTCGCGAAAGAATAAGCGCAAGAAAACTTGAAAAAAGTGTCGAGATTAAATGGAAACCAGTATGGAATTGGAAGTTCCAGGTCTCCGGTCATCCATGGATAAGCTACCCATGCCATCAGAAGGGCAAAAAGGCATACGACGTACGTCCGGCTGATGGTGTGTACTGTTTTAAGCATAGGGGTCGAATCCGAAGCACCAGGGGTGTCTAGCTCCTGAAACAGCTTGGCAAGCATCTCAGCGTTCAACTGCACAAGTAATAGTTTCAATGCGGAAGCAAGGTTGACCAAGAAAAATACTAGAGTTATAGACTTCATTGACAGGGACGTTGGTAGAAACATGCTTCTTCCTTGAAGCGCTGCATTGATGAACAGAACCGCAATAACAAAAATGTACCAAATTTTCATTAACAATCCCCTCGACGTCCCTTTTGCAGGGATCGTAACACCAAGAATTCTAAGGAGATCAACATGCCTGAAAAATACATTTTCATGTGCTTGCTCCTCCATCTTAAACACTACTGTTCTGTATACGACCGACAGACAGTCTTTAATAACTTCTGTTAAAGCTTAATCTAAAATCAATACAAAAGGAACATAGTTTAAGCGAGGTCATACTTTATGACCGTTTGGAAAATCCTATCAGCAAAATCTACTTTTCTAAAGTATTTAACACTAAAGCCCTTATCATCCACTCCAAAACTTCATGAAAAAGATACTTATAAAGTATGAAAATGAAACAAAACCTGATTGTTAAAATTAGGCCTGTTTAAAAAAAATGGTTAAATATTTATGATCATTTAGAGATCGTAAAATGTGGTCTGGTGTGATGTAGGTTTAAAAAAACATTTTCTTTATCGTGTCGATGTTTCGATGTTTATCGAGATCGTCTTCAGGGCCGCGTATTTATAAACATTGTTTAAATTATATAAATGCATATAAGATATGACTATGAATTTATACAATGGTGAACAGAAATAGATATTTTAGGTTTAATCAAAGTAATTATTCTTTTTATCTAAGGTTTTTGATTGGGATGAAAAATTAGTGCATTAATGCCACGAGCGGGATTCGAACCCACGACCTTCGGCTCAATCGGTCGCTGCTCTAACTACATGAGCTATCGTGAATTCGATAGATGCCGTTTGTTCGAATCCCGCTCATGGCTCAAATTTTTCATCTCAACTAAAATCTTTAGGTAAAAAGTAATTAATTGGAATAATAAATATGGTCAATTATTACCACTAAACAAATATGGATTAATTTAATTTTATTTAATTTTAATTCAAAGTGTGTGTTTTATGTGTACATCTGTTACTGTTGTGTGTCATGATGTGTGCTATTGAGATATTAATGTTTATTTATTTATATATGTTTAAGTTTTTAGGAGTAGGGAAGGAAATAGGGATAGAAATTCATTTTACTCTGAGGCGTCGGCTTCTTTGAGGTGAAAGGGACCGACAATGGAAAAAAGGGGTAATGTTTGTCGTTCATGGTTAGCCTTTCAGGATTATTTCAGACGGGATTGTTAGAAAATGGAGAGGTAAATTATTGAAGATATGAGAATGTAGAATTTGTTGATGTGTGGAGTGCAATGATTGTTTTATACGTTGTATTATGTCTTTTGTGTGCTACAGATATTGAATTGCATTTATGGTATTAGCGTAGCTGCTGCTGAGTTTACATGTGTCTGTTCTGTAATTGATGCTGTGTTTAGCTATGTTGATGTAAACCATTTCTAAAAAGTTAAGTTCTTAAGAATTTTGTTAGTTTTGTCCTGTGTTTAATATTTTTGGAATGTTAGAATCGAGAAATTGTGTTGGTGGTCAAAATGGTGGGTAGCCAGTACTATAGGATTTTGTCTGGGTTTTTTGCAAATCTTAGATATGTTATTTTACTCTCTTATCCTTATATTGGGATGTAATTTAGACGTAAGAGTTCAGACAATTTATACAATTAATTTTGTAATTACATCAGGCTTATTTGTTACTGTTGTTGGATCTTTAGTTTTAGAAAAAGGGTGATAATAATTTCATAGTTTTTGACGGCTATTTTAAAGTTATCAGAAGATAATACGAATTATATATGAATATAATTGAATTTCTATCTCTGGTTCCTTCAAAATCACGGTCACTAACCACCACACATTCTGTTTTTTGATACATCTGCGAGGCAAAAATTAAATTATTTGTCTTAAGCACTTTATTGTACTATCTGAAATTTGAGGCCCTGATTGTGCTGATTAATTGAGAAAGGTCAACTATTGTTTTACAAAATGCTTCTTTATTGTTGTACTCATCAAGACCTTCGCATGCTATTCCAAGCGGACGACGCATGTACATACTCAAGATATAGTGATTTTGAAAAGGCTTGGGAAAATGTCAATGAAGGTCCGAAATCCATTAAAACTTGGACCGCCGAAAATGGGATGAACTTATCAATTGATAAATCGGTTATTTGTTCTTCCTACAGAAAAAAGAAATTTAGCCGACGAGTCGATCCGTGTTGCAAAATATAATAAATTATTAGGGTTTAATTAGGTTAAAACTTTGACTTGAAACAGCCATATTTAATACATGATAAAATAAGGAGAGTTTCTTCAACGCACTGAAAATGGTATCATATAACGATTGGGGTGCTAATCCTGATATAGCCCGTTACAGAAGTGAACTGCCCCCGTCCTTCTCGCGGAGAAGGAAAGAACTATCCTCTCGGTATTGGTAACCATTTTTTCGGTTGAGGTCTGCACTCTGTTCAAACTTCTTCTAAATCTATACCGTGTACGTAGATAGCAATGATAGCGGCATCGTCTACGTAGAGCGACATCATTGGGGGCGCAATGCCGTCGACGGTACCATTAACCGCAATCTCTATTATATTTGTCATTTAAAGTGTTCCATGAGAGGCAAGCGGCAATGAACGGAGAAGCGAGGCCCAGGTCGGATTTCCATTGTTAGTCTCATTATCTCGTCCAAAAGGTACAGATTTGAAACTAGACTAAAATATATTTAAAAAAAATTGTTCAAGAGAAATTCAGCCAGGCCATCTAAAAAGGACACACTTTATACTTCATCATCTCACAAAATTCTCTTTATAAAGTGTCTAACAAGGATAAACCACTTCACAGATAAATGATTCTAGATATTAAAAATAGTAAATTAATATGAAGTAAGATTAATCTCAGAGATCTTCAGGACCTCTCGCCTGAACATGTCAACATCCACTTGTAAGCCTGATGAGATGATCAATGATCCAAGACGACTACGCCATAATAGTTTCCCCAAGTAATCAACGTACGGTCTCACTTCCACACATATCAGAGGTATTACAGAAAGCTATCTAAAATCAATTTAATTTACCCGGAATGGGAAATTCTAGTTCATGGAAATTAACGTACGAGTTATATTTATATTTTAAACTTAATTTTGTAATTACTAGAATCCTAAAAATTATCTTAATTATTTTTCGTAATTTTCTGGGCATTGAACTAAACATTGTATGCAAGATAATGATGCTCTTTTTGCTTTTTCAAGCATGATTTGGGGTGTAGTGCTATTTTATCTTGCATTTCGCCTCGTTGGTTCATTTTCGTAGAAAACGTGGATTGTACTCCCTTACTTTTGTGAAATAGCAGTAGCATAAATAGTTCTTTACATGTTAGTCATCTATGCCGATTCGATTTACAAGTCAATCTCTTGAGTCTAAGCGAATTCAAAGGTAAAGGACACAGTCAGATTTAGGGGAAGTAACATGGTTGTAGAAAATCGTGAAAGGTGGTTGTTCCAAAATGTAACTGTAACAAGAGCGCACTTACATCTATCTCCATTTTTTTCAATTTCTACAATGCGGTATATCTCCGCAGAACTTTCGATGTAGATATTGAATGTGTCGGAGGATAGTATTGATGTTTCATCGGCCAAGGAAGTAAGGAGAGTTGTAGGTATATGTGTGGTGTTTAGTGACCGTGATAATTCGGAGATCGTGAGATGCGGTCTGGTGTGACGTCGGTTTTAGAAAAACATTTTTTTTATCGTTCCAACGTTTCTATCTTTATTGAGATCATCTTCAGGGCCTGGGATTTATAAACATTGTTTAGAATTTACAAATACATGTAGGAGGTGAGAAAAAAAATGAATTTATACAATACTAGATAATTTTAGATTAAAAAATGAATTTATACAATGCTAGAAAATTTTAGATTCAAAAAAATGAATTGATACGATACTAGAAAATTTTAGATTAAAAAAATGAATTTGTACAATGCTTGAAAATTTTAGATTCAATCAAAGTATTTGTACACACTCAAATTGTTTGTTTTCTGTATAGATGTGTGTTTATATACGTTGGATTTTGAAGAGGTGGGGAAGGAGGTCGGGAATGGAAAGACATTTTTATATGAGAAGTCGGCTTCTTTGAAATGTTTAAATATTTTTGGATTGTTCAAGTCGAAATTGTGTTGGTATTCAAAGTGGTCGGTAGCCAGTGCTTTAGGATTTATTTGAGTTTTTTGAAACCGACCTTTCACCTCAAATAAGCCGACTCCTCATATAAAAATGTCTTTCTATTTCCGACTCCCCTCCCCACCCCTTCATAATCCAACGTATATAAACATAAATAAAATAAACAATTATAAAATAATAAAAAACATAATAAACATACAAACATAAATAATATCTCACTGGCACTCTCAACACGACAGACAAGAATGACACATCTACACGGAAAACAAACACTTTGAGTGAGTAGAAATACTTTGATTGAATTTTCTAGCATTGTATAATTTTTGTTTAATATAAAATTGTCTAGCATTGTATAAATTCCTTTTTTTTATTCTAAAATTTTATAGTATTGTTTAAATTCAATTTTTTTTCTTCTTTTCACCTCCTACATGTATTTGTAAAATTTAAACAATGTTTATAATTTCTAGGCTCTGAAGATGATCTCAATAAAGATCGAAACTTTGGCACGATAAAGATGCTGTTTTTCTAAAACCTACGCCCCACCAGACCGCATCTCACGACCTCCGCATAATCGTTGTAGTATAGTTGGAACATCAAAGCACTAACTGAGACATTTAGCTCGACGCTGGTGCTGATTTGGAAAACTAAATTAAATACATCTGGTTATTTGGATATCGTACGATGCGATCATTTGTGATGAACGTACCTACATTACGCATTTCACGATCTTCAAATAATTATTAATTAACCGTCACTAAACACTACACATAAATACATTAGGAAAATATGGGGAAGTGATTTTGGATGTAACATAGTAGAAATTCAACCATCAAAACCTGGCCTATTATTCAAATCCCAGGATAAACTAGACCCCGGTATGCTATAGGTAAAACACGAGGGATTCGATAGCTCTCAAAGTAATAAACTCACGAGTAAAAATTGAAGCAGAATTGACCTGAAATAGAATGGAGATATGCAAGTTAAGTATAACCTGACAACCAAAATGCTAGCGTGTTATGATTACCTTGACGTCTATATTTTCCTTTTTAC